ATGGAAACTTCAGAGCAATTTGACCTCGTGGTTATTTGGCTAACTCTGCTTCATGATATCCAGTGCAGTTAATTACACATTTTTGATGTTAATAATGTCTGTCAGTTTCAAGCATAAATTGTCTTTGATTAATATTTAAACTGTGTTTGAATAAAAATAATTGTGGTTATATTTCCTATTCAGCAGCCATTATGGCTTACTAGAGGCCTCTTTAGGAAAGAGAGCAAGCTAAATGGCTCAGCTGTCCTTACTACAGGAAACTTAAAATCACTTTTCATCACTGTACCAACCAGTAATATAATTATAGCTATCCTATGATTGGGATGAGTGTGTGAAGTGTTTATGCACTACTAAGCACAATTACAGCATGCTAGTATTGTCTTATTATTTTGTATAACAAATATAAAAAACAGTAGCATTGTTAGAGAAAAAAGGATGTGTTTTGATAAGCTGAAATGAACCTGCAAGAGGACAGTAGTGATAATGGTAGCTTTTTTTTAAAAAAAAGTTCATTCTAAATGTATTCAGTACACAATGTACTCAGTAGTCTCAGTTCCAAAATTCAGCAGCTGGGTTGAATAGAAAGATGAAGGGAAGAGAGGAATTAGATTTGCTATGAAACAAATGTAGGCCCTTGGGAGTCTTGAGGTTTGGCACAAAATCCAATCTGCAATTTAAAGCTCTTATTTTCAAAGTATTTTTAAATTAATATACTGCTAATTCATATAAGTGTCAGATCTGCCCTTTCTTTTCTGTTAAGGCAAGTGCCTTTCATCAGCACGTATTTGGTCATTTGAAGGCCTTAGCGTAAACAGAAACTGTTTTACTATACCACAGCCGAACATAACATAATTGAGTAGAAAATACTATGGCCCATCAGTGAATTTATCATTTATCTATGTTGAAATACTTATAAAATAATAAATTACTTTCTTATGGTAAAGCAAGTTGTAACTCTTGAGCTAAGACTATCACAACATTCTGTTTATAGAGGAATTCCCCTTCACTGAAACATAATTTTCCATTACCAATATAAATAATTCTCACTGTTCACATAAAAAGTCAAGTTATTTGGGTTAACAATTATTAGAACCAATTGAGTCTAAGTGACTTATTGCTAAATCAGTGTGCAGAAAGATATAAGAGTCAGAAGCTAACTTATTGGATGAAACGTATTACAATAGGAGATGATGAGGGAAGCATTAGCCAGAGGTATGAAGGTGCTGGTTGAAATCCTGACTGGCATGAAATTCATTGAGTGGCTCTGTGTCTGTTACCATTTTCAACCCTAAACTATGTCACTGAGTTTTTCAGACAATAAAAAAGATGGGACAAATCATGTAAGTGGTTTGAGTTCCTGGAGGAAAAATGGACTATATACATTTAATAAATAACATTATAAAGATATACCTTTCAAAAGATAAGTCCTTCATTTCAGAGTAGCCACTGATCGACTTTCAAGAGTTTTTTTTAAGAATGTCAGAAAATTCAAATACAATTGTCGCTCTTTCTGATAAGCTTGTTTAGTGACAACACTGAAGAAAATGTAGGTAAGAAAAGCACTGAAACTCTCAAATTCTACTTGGGAACTAATTATTATTAAAATATGATTCAGTTATACGTGACTCCTTGGTCAAATAAAACCACCATCATTCCTTTCTCCTAAAGAGTTCATATGCAACCAATATTAAAAACTAACCATAAATAGAAAACACTTTGCAAACACCACATCAAAATACAAATGCACTGTCTGAGATGACCATGGAGAAAGAATGTCTGTGTTTCTTCATCCACTTTGATGTAACCTGAAGCCAGCTCTACATAAAAGAATGCTTAAGAGAATGCGTCTGGCTCTGATAATCATGTACAGTAGAGGTTTGTCAAGTATCTCTCAGATTCTGATAGTAAAAACCAGTGACGTACTAAAAGAAAATATGGGTCTGATATTTGAGATCAGTAATTTACAATGACAGTTTTCATGTTCATTCATCCAGAAGCACGCTTGTTCAAATTAGTATCTTATTTGTGACAATCAATACAATCATTTTTGGAGCAGATAAAGGACAAAAAGTTATTAAATCCACAGAGGAAAAAGAAAGAGACAAATTCAGACTGTTGTTGACTCTATAAGACACATTTCCTACAGATGTATTTTTAAAAATAACAGTTGTTTTGATCCACAACAGAAAACTGCCATTTTGAAAACTTTTGATTCTAAAAAGTCAGTTGAATACTGATAACCTGATTTCTTTACAAGAAATAGAAGAAATGGTATAAATCCATGGGAAACCTGCAATTGTAACAATCTTATATTTTCAGTATACTTTACTGAACCAGTTTTTCTGCACTGTCACAAAGTAATATAACCAATATTTGCAATATGATTCCAAAGAGGGTGCCGTGTTGTGTGTTAATTTGTATGGCTGGCCACAGCTGAGTTTTAACATGAGAAGCCATACAAAAGTTTTAAATAAACAAAGAAGGATGCCATCTTCTCAAATTTGTTCAGCAGACTTGAGGATTAAGGGACCAAAGTAACCAAGAACTGATGATATCAATCAGATAAGATAGATGATTTCCTGATCCAACCTTCCAATTCTATGATCATCCATGAAAGACTTTCCTTTTATTCTTTATCTTTAGAAAAAAGGACAGCCTTGTTTTCACTTGAAAGAAGCTCATCTGATAAACCTGCACTTAAAAAAAAAAGTTTGACAAGGGCGGAAATGCATGCAAATGACACTTGGATAGGAGCTGGGTCAGAAAAGTAATTTAGTTTGTGGGGTTTTTTTTCCTATCCGTATGTCAATCATGTTGAGAAAAGCTATTAAAAACATCATTTGGTATAAGTTATTTGTTTCTTAGAGGACATGTCAACTCCTGAGAAAAAGAGAGTTGGGGTAGGGTGGAGAGAGAGAAAGAAAGAAATCTTCAATGAAGTTCTAAGAATTTTAAATAGACTGTCTGCTAACCTAGAAATAGAAAGGTCAGAGTGCAAACTGTTCCTGTCTTGAGCTTTGACAGGCACAGCTATGTTCTAAGAAGAGTGAATGACTGACATAATGAAAGGAAGGGGATGTCCTGCAGTTTCAGAATGTAACATGGTTTCCACTTATTAATACTAGCGTAAAACACTAAATAAACTAGGCTTATTATCTTCATCTATGAAACATACTTTCATGCTGATATTTCACTTGTAAAAGCACACAATCTGTGATGATGGTCATTTCTCTACTAGCAGCTTATAATCATTGATCTACTGCTGCAACAAAATAATAGTCATCATTACTTCCAAGGATGCCTGGGTGATGCTATGAAAATACTAATGGGCAAACGGCCTGCATACCCTTTTTAAGCAATTGTAGGAAAATGAAATTGAAAGGATGATAGCAAATAAATTGTCACTGAAATAATGATAATAAACAATAATAGATTTACAATAATAGACTTGCTTGTTTTCAAGTAACAATTACAACACTAAAATTTGACCATATGTCTTGTTAAAGGGAAACTGAATTATTGGACCGAAATTCCCTTTAAAAAATGAAAGAGGGAGGGAAGGAAAAAGAAACCTGAATGAATTAGCAGTCTGGACTGATATTAAAGTAAATCCAAGAATGTTTTTGCTTTTAGAAACTATATAGGCATGAGAGATTTTAAATTTATCTGTACATCTTTTTTTTTAAAGGCAAAAAAACTAGCACTGTTGTTATGCTGATTTAGATATTGATTTGATAAATCATTTCTCAGTTTCATGAAGTAACATGAAAAGAGATTCCTGAGATTTAATTCTAATGAAAATTAAACTTATCTATAGAACTCCTAAGAAATTACAAGAAAAATCTGGATCTTTCATCATATATTCTTTCAATGATTTTTTTTTTCAAGCGTTGAAATGAAACTGCAATTTCCCACAGATTTATCCAACAAAATTTGTTGTAATTCAGACAAAATGAAATAATAATGAAATTTCAAATTCTATACTTAATGATCGTCACAACTCACCTGGGATCCAACTATAATCTAAAGAAATATATTAAAGCAAAATATTACTTTTTCAAACATGTGAGAGGACGTTCTTTGTAGCAATAAAGAATATGAACACATATGGCCAATTTCAATGAATTTTTAGCAAGTGAAATCAAAATTAGAGGGAAAGAAAACAAGTGGGATATTCTAGTGATCTGCCTAAAGCCTTCTATGTCATGTCAAGCACTGTTCGTATAAATTGTATTAGCAGACTTAAAGTGGATTTTTCCACTGAGAGTCTCTAGGCTAGAGTTGTAGCACAATACAGTTCTTACACTACAGAAGTGACAGTCTTGCAGCAAACCTGATGGGTAGGAAAAGGCGGGAAAGGAAGGTAGGAGAAGGGGGGGGGAAGTCAGGTTCTGTTGCACCACATACATAAGTGGCATCCCAGAAACCACTTTCACACTCTCCCATCCAGCCACTCCAGCCATTAGGCAAAATATCCCAGGCCATCACCTATGCAAAGCAAGAACCATACAGCGCATAATTTTTTAATGCTTGTTGGACTTGCAAACTTACAGACAGCATTTTGAAAGATAACTCTTTATAAGTAGAAGACTAGTTGTTTGTTTGTTTATACACACACACACACACACACACACACACACACACGCACACAAGTGAGTTATGCTGAGTGTTATGGATTCTCCTAAGTATAGGCTTTGGGGAAAAATGATTTCTTTGACATGTCAGAAAATAAAAAGATTTTTGACATCTAAGAAAATAAAAATCACATTTTTCCTTCTTTTCCTTTCTTTTCCTTCCCTTCCCTTCCCTTCCTAAATGGAGCTTAGGGAAAATGCTCAATCTTGGTAGCAAGTTTTATTTAACAAGTGGATTTTTCTTCCTGAAATGGGGAGATCACATTGGAAAGTTTATTGAAGTTTCTTAAGATATTTATATTTGTAATTAAACCTTTGTCACTATGTTCTTTTTTATTAATATATTTTAATCAGCACTGCTTTTACCTTTGTGTCATAATTTTGTAGGCATCAGGGAGGAAACATTCAGTGTTCTCCATCTGGAAAGGGTCAGCATCACAGATCTTGTCATCTGTCCGTCCATAATTAGCACTCTCTATCATAATGACATCACTTCCTGGACACCGAAGATCAATAGAGTAGCCCTCACAGGACAATTCTCTCCTTACCAAACCAAATGGTAGTGCTGCTCGGCTAAAACCTTAAAAAAAAAAAAAATTGTATTATTAAATTATTCCCTCACAAATAAGTTAGAGAGATAACACCTAAACATGAGGGCATTTTTATACTTTTACCACCAAATGTATACCGTCCACAGCCCATCCTGGATTTTCTATGTAGATGGATGGGGATATTCATATAATAGAGCAGCTTGTTCACATCCTTTTTGAATCATGAGTTAAATGCGGTCATTATTCTGAATGCATCATTTTATAAATAAACACATGGTTGAAATTTGTTCTTTAAAAAAATAAATTATGAACTTTAGAGCTTACAGGAAACATCCAGCAGAATTCAGGGTCCAAACAAGTCAAACTCTGGAAGAATTTTTACCCTAAGTGTGTAGTGGCGGCTGAGTGGCTGGGTCATTTTTTGGCCATCAGGTTTACAACATACTTCCAGCCAGGACCTTTGCTTAATGAGCCCTAGTTTGTGTTCTAACTAATTTAATTATTTTCAACAGATGTTTATGATTGGCTTTCTTCATCCTGGGTCAGCCCTTGAGTTGACTTCACTTTAAACTCAAGTACTATGTCACAAGTATTATTTATTTTCCATGCTCTCTCCCATTCCCAGCCTATTGCTGAACTCAAGACAGCCTGAGAAGTTTACACAGCAAGGCTATGTTCTCTGCCTAGAATTAACAGAAAAAATAGGGCATCTGCTTGTTGAAAAAACAACAACCCAAAACAATAAAACGTTATGGGCTTATTAAACTTGATAATTTAAAACCAATGTGTTCTCTCAATTCTTCAATTTCTTTTGTTCATTTTGTTCTTTTAATCTCAGATCTGGTGCATAGGCATGTGGGATTTGTGTGTAGCTTTTTGATGAATGAATTTTTCAATGTTTTTTTTTTTTGAGCTACGTGTTAATGTTGTTTAACTTCCTTTGCTTTAATGCAAACTATGATTATATTCTCACAATAAATCTAATTATAAAATGGTTCTATTTCTATGGCAAATGTTCAACCTGAGTTCCTACAATAACCAGAGAGTTGAAAACTTGGTTTATAAACCATTTTTAATAATGATTACCCAAACATATTATTTTGGTCCTGATTTATTTATCATAAATTATCCTCTGTGGCCTGTAGTGACTGGAAGTGGTATGTATTCTAGCCTGCATACTTAACCACTCAAAGTGGTTTTTATACCATGGCAAGATGCCATGTGCAGGATTCTCAGTGGATGCGTCTGTCGCCCAACCATTTTACATTAAGTGTGATATGTGAGCAGACAAATTAGGATTTCCATCTTTATCAGATGCTGTAAAAGCATGACCAGCAGAAAAACTATCTTATGATGAGCTGACTGCATTTCACACTTCTGTAAAGCTGGAATATTTGTCACAAAGTATGAAACTATTTGAACCAATTCCAATTCTCTGAGAGCAGAATTCAAGGCCTATGTTGAGCCAGAAGGAGAAGCTCTTTGTGAAGGCTGCGTTATAAGGACGACACTGGACATGTAACAAAATACAAAAGACATTTGAAGCATGTACAAAACACACAGCTCTTTCACTGGTAAAGCATCATAGCAGTTGCACTTAAAATCAAGGCTTTTTTATTTCCACAATAGGAGATTCAATTTTTAGTCAATATTAAGCTCAGCACTTTTCTTCTGATTGTATTTACCCTCTGACAGTTGCACGTTGCTGCCAGCTACTCTGCCAGCCTCGAATACCGTTTTCTTATACACACAACTAAGTTAGCAACAGCTCTGTGCCTGACTGATAGCATGTGCTAACTGGGAAATGCAACTGATACAGATGGAAAACATTATGAAAAACAGGTGGGAGTATAACATAAGCCCCATAGCCTGGTTCTCTGAAGAAAAAGCATCACTACTGCATTTAACTTCTTATTAATGAAGTTAGGGGACTGGAAGCTAAAATATATAAAGAACAGTTGCTGGAACTGGGTATGTCTAGTTTGATGAAAAGAAGGACTAGGGGTGACATGATAGCAGTGTTCCAATATCTCAGGGGCTGCCACAAAGAAGAGGGAGTCAAGTTATTCTCCAAAGTACTTGAGGACAGGACAAGAAGCAATGGGTGGAAACTAATCAAGGAGAGAAGCAACCTAGAACTAAGGAGAAATTTCCTGACAGAACAATTAATCAGTAAAACAACTTGCCTTCAGAAGTTGTGAACGCTTCAACACTGGAAGCTTTTAGGAAGAGATTGGACAACCATTTGTCTAAATGGTATAGGGTTTCTTGCTAGAGCAGGAGGTTTAGGCTAGAAGACCTCCAAGGTCCCTTCCAACTCTTCTATTCTATTCTATTCTATTCTATTCTATTCTATTCTATTCTATT